TCATTTGCATTTGCTTCTTTTATGGAAACAGTATGTCATGAGACATGATTGCTTAGTTTTTCAAAAAAATGACAACATTCTCATTAAATACTAGCGAAAGGAATGCAGTTTTATGAAATACGAAAAACTGGCGAGTCTTAACTTATAAAAGGAATTTCTCCTCTTCGTTTATGACTAAATTAAAAAATAGTTATTATTTAGCTTAAAAATGGTAAACTTAAATAATTCTACAGATTTCCCTGCAATTTTCATATGTGACATAAGGTCTTTAGTGAATATATATGATATATTAAGCACTTTCATATGAAAGTGTCTGTAAAACATTGCAATCCTTTATCTCCTTTAAGCTGGATGAATTAAATTTTAATTAGTAATTTTGCGGCAAAATATTTGATGTAAAATACGAAGCATTGTATGATGCTTGTCTATTAAAAGAACTCTATCGCTTAATTAAGTTCTTAAAATCTAGTAATTAATCAACAAATTAACATCTGAGAGTTAACTTACTAAATTCCTATAAGAAGCTTCTTACCTAATAATTTATGTTTCCAGATAAACCTTTTATGATATTTTATCTTTATTACTGACCTCTTTACTATTATGTTTGTTTAAACCGGGAACAGCAAGTCTAAATTTCTTTTTGCTGTGGTTTGGTTCCGAGAAGTACATGCTCAAAAAATTTCGATACCATCTAAATTAATCAACTAATGAATTACAAGCAATACAAGTATAAATATATGTATTAAAAATATCTATAGATAGATAGATAGATAGAAATATAGATACATAGATAGAGAGATAGATAATTTTTTTACTAATGGATTACTTAGTATATTGTCTCCTTTGTTAAAGGTGGTAAAAGTTTAGTAGAATGAAGTAACTTATAAGTAAACAGCTAGAGAGATGGAAAAACAATTCAGTAAAATAACATAATGAAGACAATATGACAAATTGTCGAAAATTCCTTCGTTAATATTTAGAATTTATTCTTATGTATTCTTTTTAAGGAGCACCAGAAGAATTTTCAACAGAGCCTGAATTATATCTAGATGATTATAAATTGAGATAATTCAAAAGAAATGGCTAAATAAAAAATAAAAATCATTAATTAAAGTCCATTAAAAGCAATAAAATAAGACTTTTTAAAAATTTAAATATTAATTAATCATCAAGATATAATCTGCTTCGACGTGACCCTAAAACAAGAATACTCTAAAGAGCATAAAAAAGAATTTTTTTCCAGGTTAGTCTGCCACTCTTTTTTGATTTCTTTCTATAATAAGTTTATCATTATTTTATTTCTTAAGCTTTGTCTTAAGCAAAATTCGCTTTACTTCTCATTGCCAGAAATGAAACGCATGCCATCGAGCGTTTATAAATGACGCGTGATTACGAAACTTCTAAAAGAAGCTGAGGATAAATCAAGTTCTTCATCTCAGTTTTAATTATGCTGATAAGAATTAAAGCAAGAACTACAAAAGGTAAAGATTTCGTAAATCTTACTTGTAGGTAAGCGATCAAGGTTTCACCTTAGACACCAAAAACTGCCCTTCATCTAACGGCTCAAGGTGAGTGGAAGATCATTGCACTATGAAAGAGGACAAAGGACGAAAAGGGTCAAGGGTTTCTCTTCCTGGTCAAACCGGACATGTGCAAATATTTTAATTGATGCCTTTCTGAGTCGCGTTTGATTACCCAGATTTTAAACCTATCCCTTGTAATGATTTGCATAGTTTAACAGAATACAATCCCAATTTTCAGATATTAGTATCAAAACTGATTCTCTTTTTCTAATTGAAAACATTATTTGATTTCATGAAGCTATTAATTACGCATAGAATTACATATTTTGAGAAAATATGTTTATTACTGCAACTTCGCAATGTGTTCGGCATTAACTAGTAATTTAAGTTTACCAACTAAGTACATGAACTATTATTAACATAGCTTTGTTAAAATGTATATGCTTGCCCAACAATATGCGATGTAATTCTGCAAATGCGAATGTACATTGATCTAATGACGGGAAATGAAGGCTTTATTAAATGAATTTAATGGTTAAAGATAAAAGAAGTCTGATGGTAATGAAGCATTTTAATAACTGAATTTTGATTGAAATCTAACTATAGAATTATGTTACTGATTTTGAAGTTTGCGTACATGCATACACACGTGATTGCTTATATTTACATATGCATGAATATGTTAATATGCATATTTGTATTCTTATAGGCATAGAAATAAGTAAATCTGATGCTTTCATGTCAACATGTGTCTACAGGCACGATGACTGAAAAAGAAAATGCAAGATAATAAACTAATTATTATTCTGCTCAAACTTTTTTAATAACTCTAAGTAAGTAAGCATTAAATGTTTATATAAAGTAACATGTTTTAGCTAAAGATTTTTTATTTTTTTCTTATGATTTAGTTGTTTCTAATACATCAATGGGAAATTTACTGCTTTACGTTACAAAAGTAGTGATAAACACAGGGTTTAATTTTCTTTAGACAAAATGTTTAAAAAATTTTACTCTTTTTATTCGCTGATATTTTTTTTGGGGGGGGTCAGATCAATATGGCATGAATCCTTTATTGTCAGTTATTTAAAACTTTGATTCAGCCATTACCATGAAATAATATCAAAAGAAGTTTTAAAATCTTATTAATTTTTACTGTACGAATTTCATGAAAAATATCGCCATCTAATTGCTATATGATTTTTGCATATTACTTTTATAAAGTTTATTTGTCTGCTTTATTATATTTTCATTTGAGAAGAAGTTTTTTTACAAATACAGTTCTGTACTGCTTTAAGGAAGCAGCAAAATACAGTTTTTTTCTCTGTTTCATTATTTTGTAGTGTTTCAAAGCTAAAATAAATAATTACGTGTTTAAATATAGGTAACATTTAATGTGGATGTCTCTTTTTTATAAAATTTTAGATACATTTTAAAAATTTTTAAGGGATCGGAATAAAATAAACCTTACAAATACGTATTTACCGCTTTGAAAACATCACCTGGTAAAGTTGATGCACCGTAAAAAAGCCTTTGCTCTTTCTTACTCAAGCATGAAGGAACATCGATTTGATCTTTACACTTTCTTTAATTTTGTTTTATTCTAATATTTTATGCTCTGATGTGACTGAATTTTAGAGGTCGAGCTTTTCGAGCTGCAACCTTCCTCTTATGCCATTCGCTATGTCTTAGACTATTACAATGAAATATGTTTTTCGAAATACGCTATGTTTTAAATTATATTTTTCACATTTATATATAGTTTATCTTTAAACATAATAAAATTACACCTAAGCAGTTAAAATCAAGTAGCCAATTTCATAATATAAATCTACTATAATTTTCAAATATATGAAAATTAAGTTCCAGCAAATGTTTTTAATATATGACAACAAAATCAATAATTTAAGTCACGCGAAAACTTTGCGCGCTAGATGATTCATTAAAGATGAATTAAAAGTTAAATCTATTAAGTAAAATAAATTAATAATTATCTGGATAATGAGTAAAATTGGTAATTTATTGCTCGTACTTTTTATCCAAAACATATTTCGAAAGACAGCTTTTCTACAGCCATGAGAACTGGTTTATCTCTAAGCTTTAACATTACTGTATATTTTTCTTTCACGATATGAAGATATGGTTAGTGTCACGAAATAAATATACTTTATAAATTAGTTTACCTTTTGAGGGTATACCAAAATTTTGATTCATGAAAATTTTAAAATTATGAAATCTGTTTTTATAAAGCCCCCTTGCTATTCACTGAAGAGTAATGTTTTCTTATAATAACTTCTGCTTTAATAATTTTAACAGATAAATACAAATAAATCATAAACTTAGTTACAAATAAAATAATTAAAAACTCGTTGTAAATTTTATGAAAGTTTCATCACTTAAACAATCCTGCAATGTTCACTTAAGCTCACCAATAACCAATTTCAGACAGCAGAAGCATGATCTTCACTTCGGTTATTAGAATTAAAAATAATTTTAATTTGCAATAATGAAATGCAGGCTATGATTACAAAACAAAACTCTATATCTTTCTATAGGATCTCTATATTTCTAAAAAATTGCAACATTACTACAAAAGCAAGCATTACTAAAAATAATAACTATGGATATATACATAGCTATGAATTGATTAAAAGTATATTTAAAATGCTGCTGTCTAAATCAATATATTAATCGCAGATCTGGACAATAATGATATTTTTGAAATTATTAACCAAATCAGACCCATTTAAAGGATGCCAAACAATACAAAAATTTCTCATTTTGGATTGAATTCTTTCTCTAAATAAATCTAAATTTTCCATTTTTTACTTCCGTGTTTGTACTAATTAGAACTGAAAGGCCAAGTTATTATTTTATCTCTGAAGATCTTTAAAATAATGGAATAAGTGCAAGGCTAAAAGGCCTATATAATAATTTTTACCTTACAAATTTCAGCATTAATTTTTATATTAGCCATCTGCAAAAATCTGCGTCATGAATGTATCGCAACCGAATTCATTTGTCTATTTATTATATTTGAGGTGGAGCATTTTCATTTGGATTTTGAAAACAAGAAGTATTATGTAATGTGAAATATTTCTTATATTTTTATAAGATAGTTACTGACATTTTGATTATCATGCTTAAAATTTGTTTCATGTATATAAGCCATAATTATTTTCCTTTCGATTCTCACAAATTGATTATCTTATATTTTTTATTTACTGCTTAACTGTGCAATATACTTTTAAGATTGGTTTCTAATTCTTTTAAAGCATAGAAAAACAAATTCTTATAATTTTTGCTATTTGAAAGCTTTAAGGAGTTGACCTGGGAAACAAAATCACCAAATAAATACGTTACCAAATAAATGCTTTTAAATTTCGAAAATAGTCGCTTTCCTTTCAAACAGCGGAAACAAGTAAGCTTTGATAAAAACAAACAAATGCTACAGTTTCCCATTTGACTTTAAGCACTTACCGCACTTGAAGATGGGGAAACAGGAATAATGCACTTCTGCATCACACAGGAAGCATCAACAGAGTGATATTGACGAAGCGAAAGTTCGCCATTCAAGGCTACTTCGGCATTTCTTTAAATCCTGTTCTAGTAGTTCATGTTCATCCAACCAAGGTGAATGAAAAAACGAAAAGTCATAAGAAACCCGTTTATCAACTCTGTTTCTTAATTCGGTTGTTGTGGTCAAGAAAGAGTGGCTAGAAATAGAGCGTTTGTGTTTTGTTTATATTGTAATCAATCATTTAATCATTGCAGAATTACACATTTGAATACTGAGTTACTTTTAAAACGTAACTTTTGAGAAGAATAGAATGGTTGAGTGAACAAACAAGATAACTAAACTCAAGGATGGAAAATAGGCAAGTAAAAGGGGTATTCGTCCCCCCCCCACACACACACGCACTGAAATTCATCGAAACTCTCACCAGAGCCGCCGATTACTTATAAAAATTTTTTAGCGAAAATTTTGCATCAGGGAACCATTTGAATAACTTTATGAATAACGAGATTAGCACATATCCAGATAATTATTTACTAATCTTTAAAGTTTTAAACTTGAAAATATTCTTAATAGTGTTTTATTTTTAGCGTCTCTGAACTAGTTTAATATTTAAAATTAGTATTGTACAAATATAATTTACTAGATTCATAAATTATTAAACAGTAAATATCTTAATAGGAGACAGTTTTAGAATATGTACAAAATATTAACCTGTTACATTGTAAATTTCATCAATGCTTAACAATTTATTAAATAATAACACATATTTTAATGAACTTCCTAAATGCAGAGTTTCAGTAAAGTACACTAAAAAGTTAAAAATAATTTTTTAACCATTATGACACGTAGCGACTAAAAGTAAAAGCGTTGTAGGAGATATTAATTAAATTTGATTACCTTAAATTCATTTACATTTTTGTTTGATGATTTTGGTTTCAAATCTGTCACATTTCACAGCCTTACTTTTAGATTTTTTGAGCCTTACTTTTCAGTTTCGTTTTTACTCCTACTTATACATGCATATGTGTCTAAATAGTTACATAATCATATCTTACTAATTATTATTATTTAAAATCCTCTTTAAACGTATCTCTCTCTCTCTCTCTCTCTCTCATATATATATATATATATATATATAGCTGTGTGTGTGTGTGTGTGTTTGTATATTACATATGTGTCTGTATCAGTGTAAAAGGTGGAAAAATAAAAGAATCATGACATTTGAACGAAAGCAATAAAACTACTCTCACTAATCAGCATAACAAGAAATATATGCGTATTTTCTCTTTCAGTGTCTTCTAATCTATCAGGTTGTATTAGATTACATTCAGTTTATTTAAATTTCTCTGATAATTTTGATTTAAAAATCATTTCATTGTTAGCAGATAAATTACATCTGTTAGCAACCCATCCACTGATTTGGGAGAAATCTTCAAACATTAGTAAATTAAGCCAGAGATCTCGAACAAACTTCATTTAGAAAGTTACATTCCGATCTCTCATATGAAGGGAAAAAAATCAAAATTCTAAGATTTATAATTTTATCGCTAAGCAAGGATATAAGTAGAAAATTCCTATAAAAAAAGGCTTCTACATTAAAAAAAACTCTGTATTCAGTTTTGAAAGTTCGTACAATATTGGGGTAAGTAAAATTTCAAGCAAACCGATTTGAGGGATATAGGTCAAAAATTGATTATCAGATTTAGCCCAAGCAAACAAACAGAGAAATTATTCAAAATAAAACCGCGTAAAATTCTATTAACAGAAATAATCTTGTTTTGGATCACTGGAGTTCTTTAAAATGGTTATAAAAAAATGTTTATAAAATGGTTAGTTCTTTAAAATGGAATACTAAATTATTTCCAATGTAAATGCTACTTACTGTAACTACTTAACTGCTACTTAAGTAAACAATATCTGTAAGCAGCTAAAATGAATAAAGTCATAATTCAGAAAAATTCAGACTTAAAGTTCATCTTTCCTCTTTTGACATTTTTTTTTTCAATTTAATGCATCTTTCGAACAGCATAGAGTTTTTTAACTGCTAATAAATTACATGATGAGTTAATGCTAAATTTTTCAGTCCGTATAGTTAGTAAATTATGAATACTAAATTATTAATAGTTATGTGTCAGTAATTTAACATTATTTTCAAAATATGAAATATAATAAGGGTCCATATATTAATATAAAATTTGTTCTACTCAGTGAGACTGAAATACAAGCACAATTATATAAATAAAGTAAGACTTCGTTATCCATGTTACTTGTCATATATTTAAGCTATGTAAACTGAAGCTTGTTATCAATTTATTATTTTTTTCATATAGCACATAGAGACAGTAATACATACAGCCAAAACCCTATTTAGTAGCTGTTAAATAACTTGCGAAAACTATTGTCAAACTGTAGTGGCATTAGGTTATTTCGAAGCAGGAAAGATGGAAAATGAGCAATGCTCTCGCCGGAACTCGAACCACGGATTTCTCGAATACGCGTCGAGTGTGCTGACCATTACACAACGAAGGCTTGCTAAGAAGGCGGGAGAAATACCTCATATACTCCCTCTTTTAAAGGGCGACTAGGGATTGGGGAACCCAATCGCCAAATCTTTCATGAAGAATCGTCATTCACCACCTTTTTTAGTTCGAGCGCCACTGTAGAAACATTAGGTTTTTTTCGAAGCAGGAGATATTGAAAATAAGCAATGTCTTCGCCGGAACTCGAACCTCGGACCTCTCGAATACGCTTCGATTGTGCTGACCATTACACTATGAAAACATGCTAAGAAGACAGGAGAAATACTTTATATTTTAATTCAGTTTTTAAGCATGATATATATTCGTGATGTTATTATTTGCTTCAGGATAGTTAAGTTCTGTATCTGTGTCACTCATTCCGTCTTAGCTTTCCGAATCGGATGATTCTTTTCACGAGAAATTTCTTCAAACTTCTGCAATTCACGAATTTCAAGTTGTGATTCATAATTTACCAATTTAAGGGTTTAGAGCAAATTTAGAGTATGGTCCTATCTCAGCTGTTTTCTGCATTCTACTTGTAGGAAGAGCGGTGGAAGGCCCTCGGGCCGTCTCTCGCAGTGCTCGTCCTCAAAACTGGGGTGGAATTGCACAGTTAGTGCTGTGGAATTATACCTATACAACCTGTGATGAAACTCTGGTGCTCCGCCCACTTATACCAGTACTTCTACCTCCTAACAGCATTCTAACTTTTGCGGATGATAACCATTAGATATCAGAGCATTAACATTCATCCTACCGACATCATCTGCAGACCGTTCCAACATCAGTAGAATATTTTCCATTAAAAATCAGAGAAACTGAAAGATCCAGTTTCACTGACATCTATTAACTATAGTTTGCTGGCAGTAACACCATTGATATTTATTGAGTAGGTAAGATTTGAATGAGTAGGAAAAGGATCGATGTCAAGTCGAAATTTTTTGTTCATTTTAAAAAAGTGATAAAATGTTCTGAGGAGGAGAGAGTGAAAGCAGCAAAGAGGTAAGAAGTAAGAGGTTTCTTGAGAGGACAAAACTAACGCGCTTTAACACGATCTGACAGTTGCATACCATTTTAGACAACACAATTTTTTTCAAAAATAACTATTAAATCGGAGAAATCTATTGCTAAACTGCTAAATCGAGGATAATTTAACATCAGGTTTAGAAGTTCGGACTGATGATAGTAATAGTTGAATCGAAGCCATCTTTAAACCTAGTGTTACTAAATCAAGGATGAGCTGTTATTATATGAGAAACTACTAAATTGAGGTGACTCTTTTTGATATTTTTATTAAAATCATAAATTTAGTGCAACTTATATAAGCAAAGTTTGAAAAATATTCATTGCTTTGTTAATGTTATTTTAAAAATTTAAATCAATAAAAATAATAACTTCGTTTATTATTATTTGAAATTAGAAATATGTTATATTTCTTGTTTAAGAGAATGAAATATAACAAGATTAATATTTAATTCTGAGGGCAATGTAGATTTAATTCCATTGTTTAATGCCAGCTGAAACAAAGGCTTGTGCGTTTAGACAAAAAAAAAATTCACTGTTTAATTTTGATGTGTTTTTTTCAGAAAAACGTACAATGAACGGAATAATACACTCATCTGCAGTAGTTGTTTACTTACCGTATACACTTATCTGGTCTGAAGAAAAAATACAATTTAAGTATTCAAATTTTTAAATGTCTGAGTGGACTGTGATCTCAGTACTCCAGATATCTAGAGTTCACGTGAATTTCCGCCTTCGATGGAACTGAAAAATGATATAATCTAGCGAGAAAAATGATATAATGATCTATCTGAACTGAAAAATAATATAATGACTAACTGGACGAGAAATTTACTTCTATAGAAATTAAAAGATTCTTTTAGATGAGGAACCTGTTAAATGTTATTGAATCTCACTCGAAGTTAACTCAAGAGAAAGTTTATAAAGATAATTCCAAAGCAAAATTAGTTTGAATATATTACTATATGTTGTGTTCCATGATGAACATCTTATTTTCCGCATAGTTATTAAGATGGTTGAGACATTTGTCTGCCACTTGCCAATTGTTTCATTGCCCAACTCACAAAATGGGGTAATTCAAGCATCAAGTTACAGATTCTTTCTTATTTTAAATGCTTTGTCTCTCCGAAATCTATGACCACTAGGAATTTTCTTGAGAGGTAAGAAGAGAGGAAAAACATCTGGCGTCAGTTGAACACTGTATTATCACTGCTATATCTTACAGAGATGTTGCAAGAGGACTCAAACCTAACAAGGGTCTAGGGAAACTTTATCATAATTGAAAGAAATATCTCATGTCAGTGTCCCGCATGTCTGTTTTCTACAGATATCACTTATCTACCTTTACTTAATCTTTTAGTGAATGTTTCTATCCCTGTGTCTGAAGACCTGCAAGCTATTCTTCTGTGCGGAAATAAACATGACAACGGATTTTACACAAAAAGGACTCAAACTTTGGAATTTTCATCATCAATAATGAGAATAGTGGAAGGATACATATTGATACAAAAGAAAG